AATTTCAGCTTACTACCTCTTATGGTTTCCATCTTTGCTATCAATTAGTCAATCAATCAGCATAGATTGGAATTTAATGCTGTTTTAGCTTAACTCGGTGCGAAAACTGCCGACTTGAAGATCGTTTATGGAAAAAATTTGAAAACTCTTGATTTATTATGCGTCTAGTCTAGAGCTGATGTCAGTAACTAGCTCATGGCGAGAGTTGTTGCAGAATGCCAAATTGTTGCAACTCGTCAGATATTTTGTTGTTGCATATTTTTTTGACATTTTAATTGTTTGGCGCACAACAAAATCTGTAAAATTGAATCATTTCGTACTGACAGCTAAATATGAAATCAGAAATGGAATTACAAAACAGCCTCTCCCCCCCCTAACACTTGCCAACCCGCCCCCCTTCACGTGGCTGCCAAAACGGATACGCGGCCAAATTGAATTGTGTCCCAGTAGCTGCTCCACCTCCCCCCTGCTCCCTCCTCTGGCCATCTGTCAGTGTGTTCTTGAGGTGAAAATGCAATTATTTATGAGCAAAAAAAGGAGCATTGTGCCCCGCTACCCGCTCGCAAGCGCACAAATCCATCCGTGTACACGACGACGGCAAACGCAATCAAAACATGACGCACACACTGTGGCACCTCCGAGGAGGATGCAGTGCCGGGGACGTGCCAGGCCCAACTGACAGGGGCACGTATGTAGAATTAGTTTACGAATTGCTGCAGGATACGTGGCGCAACATTTTACAGCAAACAATTTCCCAATGCGCCCCACTCCCGCCCCCGCCCCCGTACACGTCCCTGGCAAAAGCGCCAAAAGACGCTGTCAGTTGCACTGTGGAACGAATGGACAAAGCAGCGCACAAAATGGAACTCGCCCCGGGCTATTTGCTGTCCTTTTGAGAAGGGTTGCCAAGATTCAATAAACTTTTCGCAAGTTGAATTTGTATTTATTTTAAATGTGTTGTCCAAAACAACAAAAATACATATTTCTCAGAGCGAGCCGCAAGTTTTGTTCGGCTTGTTGAAGGGGGGCCGGCTTTAAAGGTGGATTATAGGAACTTCATTCTTAAACTTTTTGCTCTCGAACGAAATTTCATTTACTGAATTTTTAATCACTTCACTTTTTATACCCTAGTGGAGGATATTATGATTTTGTCATGAGGCATCAATATCCAAAATTAGGCAAATGTATAAAAACTTTGTGTTTTAAGATTTCTTGACCAAGCTTGGCATATCCTTTATTTTTACTATATAAGCAAAATCTTGTCAAGATCGGAAAACTATATCGTAAAGTTCAAAAATGTTCAATTGCGATTATTTTAAAGAAAATAAGAATCCTAAAATATATCTTTTGACAACTACTGAATGTTTCTGAAATCTTTTGGCTATAAAGGTTTTCGGTTTCTAGTTTTCAAAAGTAGAAAATGGTAAACAAATGGCCCACGGTGCCGGCTCATAGGCATAGGCATAGACATAGTCATAGACATAGATATAGATAGACCTCCAAAAAACCTTGTTGTCTGGCAGCTGGGGGAATTGGAATTGGCCTGGTTTTGGCTTTCGGTTCGAAGCCCTGTTTGGGGGGCTTTTGCCTGGAGCACTAAGGTGATGAAGGGGAAGGGATAGAGTGAGAGGGGAGGGGGGAGGGCGCGCAATTTGTAGCACATGTAGCGCGGCGTTTGGCAACAACCGATGCAACCTGAAAGGCACACACATATTTTTGGAAGCTCTATTAAGCGCTGCCAGCCGAATCCAAAAACCAGACCCAGATCCTGGGCAACGCACTGCGGGGGAAAGGTGTGTGTGTGAGGGGGGGGGAGGGGGGACTGTTTGATGGGGCTGGGAAGAACTTTTAAAAGAAAACTTTCGCCGGCGAGTGTGTGTTTATGTGTGTGTGGATTTTTGAAATGAATATGCATGTGGCTTGTGGGGGCGTGGCAGGGGCAGGGGCAGGGGCATAGCGCACGATGCCGGAAAAACTCTTGGCAAAAGTAAATTTAAAAGTTTTTCATGCGCCGCCGTCGCGTCGTTCTGTCCGCTTAAAAGATATGAGTAGCGCGCACTTTTGGACAAGTTTTCTAGTTTTTCGGGATGGCACGTGGATGGCAAGAGATTCGCTCGCAATACCAGAAAATGTGCGATAATTCACATAAGCAGTCTTATCATGTGTGTGTGTGCGTGTGTGCGGGTGTCTGTGTGTGTGTGGCTCGTGAAATGATGTTGTGTTAGAATGTGTCTGCGTGTGCTCGTGGGTTTCCTGCGGAAAGAAAGCACCTCCCAAGCATTTAGGCATGCAAAGTTTTCACTGGCGCACGTTCCACTCGAAAGCAATTAGCACACCCAACGAGAAATGTTGGTAGGCATGGGGGATACCTCTAAGACTTACGCTTGAAATGCAATTTCATTAAAATCACAAGAGTGCCCGACTAGGAGATACCCTGCAGCTTACTGCGCGGCCGTGCGTCTTCTTCCGCTATTCGAAATGTTCTCTTGAACACCTTCGGTTCTTATGGTCCGATCGTTATGAAAATGTGAGACCCTAAATATGACACCCAAATGTGATCTGGGGGTGTGGCATCCAAAAGGTAACCTGTTCCCTATACTATGCGAGCACCTATATACCATGTTTGATGCTTGCTCCCATAATCTTCAAGTTTAACAAGTCAAGTGTCAAAATCGGAATTAAGAAATATTATTAAAAGGAGGTAAAAAAAAATACAAAAAAAATAAATATTAACAAATAAAATTACTCTGCTCGACTAGGAGATACCCCGAACCTTCTACCAACACCAGCTGCGGCTCGCGCTCGTTTGCCTTAGGTCTTATGAACATAAATTTAATGGTAATTTCTATAAAAAAGAAAGGTTCTGGATCAGAATATACTATTCTTGTAGCTGGATGTCTAAGTTGGGCTCTTGTCTAATTTACCTCTCTAAAACTAAGCAATTTGCACAAAAAACAGAATTTCGATATGGATTTTTGTAGATTTCTTGGAAACGGGCAAGGTTATCGATTATCAAAAAAAAATAATTTCAAGTCTACCTCTTTTAGGCTTTGAGATCCTCGCGTTCATACAGACGGACGCACGGACGAACATGGCTAAATCGACTCGGCTATTGATGCTGATCAAGAAAATAAATACTTTATGGCGTTGTAGATACTTCCTTCTGCCTGTTTCATACATTTGCACAAATAACTTATACTCTTTTTTCAGGGTATACAAATTTAAAGTCACGAGCTTTCGATGAGTTCAAGGTGTAAAATCAAGAAAAAGTGACTGCCGATTAAATACCCTTGTAGAAATGTGGATTACGGGCTTGCATCTATGCGCAGAGATTAAAAAATCTGTTATTTTCTGAGGTTTGTCAAGTTATCTTGAAAAACCGAAAACTTTACCCTACATAAAGGAATTTTCGACCAACTTTTCCCAGTTCCCAAACGCAATTTCTGTATTTGAGTTAAGGAGCTCTTCAAGATAAGACTCTACATTTTCTATGATCCACCCAAGACTGATTCGCAAAACTCCGTACCATACTATGTAAAATCTCTATGTATAAGCATATATCTTCTGGCAGCAGTGAAATCCCGCCATATCCCATTCCATGACTTTTCTTGTATCTCTATGAACCGTAACATTTACTAACATTTTCTCACGCACGCATCCGAAAACCATTTAAATAACGCTCCATCATCTGGCACACACACACACACACCCACACACACAAATGCTCAGATACACCCGGCCTGGAGAAACTTTTAGACGGCAGCCCAAGCTCTTGGTATTTCCCCCGCGCCCAGGCGACTTTCCTAGCTCCTGGCCATGGGCTGCTGTAGTGTTTCGTGGACGCCGCGTTGGGGGCTGGCGTTGATAAATGCACAGAGCGTAAAAGTTGGAGCAAACTACTTTGGGTTTTTAGGCAAATTTTCGCATAGAACTAAAAACGTAGCCAACTGCTTTCCACTTACCTGGCAGCGTGCCACGCCCACAACCGACGCGAACAGCCCCCAGCAGACCGCAAATCGCTGGGGCCATTAGAGAGCCTGGCAAAAACGCCGCTAAATGCGATGTGAATTATTTAAGGCACGTGTGTTGTGCAGAATGCGGCAAATTCGACAGTGAAATGCATTTATTATTGAAGATACCGAGTACCCGCCCTTACCCTACTCCCCCTCCCCCTTCCTTTTCGCTCGTCTAGCTGCTAGGTCTGAGGCGAAGCTGTAGCCCAAAATGGATGCGGAGATCGTGTGGAATCCTTTGCCTGACAAGCCAACCAATTATGTGCGCCTGATGAGTGCCCCAGCTAAGGAGCCCCACAGCGGGCCGGGTGCGGGGTATATTTTGATAAACGCTTTACAGTTTGAAAAGTTTTGCTGCCGCGCTGTGCTGTGTGGCACGTGATTGGAATTACGCGTGGCATGGCCCACAGCCAAGTAAAACTCAACTCAACTGAGGCACAATCCACGCCACAAAAGTGGAAATTTTACACGAGCTACGAAAAGGTGAGGAGCAGGATTTGGCGCCGTGGAATGGGACGGGGTGCGAGTCAGGGCGAAACATGTTTCTGATTTTGGCAATCGACAAATGTTGCACACATTGTGCTAAATTAGCATACCATATATGTATTTACTTAAGACTCGACATTCCAGAAAACGGCTCAAGGAAAGGCGTTTTGAGTGAGATTTACTTCGCGAGAACCTGATTACCAAGATATTCCCTTTGTGTTTATGGCAATCCGAAACATTTCAAAGCTTTGTTCTTAGTTTTAAAAGTAATTCCGAGATATTCCTGGCAGATTCTGAATGTTCCTTAATTCTAGAATGTCATTCCGCGATACTCCAGTTAAATCTCAATAAACCGAAGTTATGCCAAGATATTTCCTCAACGCCTGAAAATGATTCCTGAATATTTTTCCTAAATCCTTACTATTTCGTTAATCCATTGGTAACTAGATAAAGAGGCGATTTGATGAAACGTAGACGGTTTTTGGAATGCTCCACTGCGTGTTTATTTTATGTGATGTTTATTCGATTGCAAAGTGGAAAATTGGAAATACAAATTGGATTGTAATGTAGTTAGTTTTACATCTGGCGATAAGTGTATACTGTAGACCTAAGCTGTCTCTGTCTCTCTCTCTCTCTTTCTCTCTCTCTCTCTGTTGCTCTTCTCGCACTGGACTCAGTCTTGCTTCAGTTAGCCGCTGGCTCGCCATTGCCCTGCACATGGAGAATCATTTCAAAGGGATCCCACTCCAGATCCGACTCGTGCTTCACACGTCGTCGACCGCCCATCGGCACCTGATGAAGATGGGCATGATGATGATGATTCGGGTGCATGGCCAGCGCTGGATGGGCTCCATGGTGCGCCAACGGGTGCTGCACCTGGCCAATGGGCAAGTCCTGGGCGTGCTCGGCCAGTCCGGGTGGCCGGTAAAGCTGCAAATGATGAGGCTGGGCATGCGGATGTGGCTGATGGTGATGCTGATGCTGCTGTTGCTGCTGCTGCTGCTCGCTGACCATCTCCTGGATATGCTCGCGCGTCTGTTCGCGCTCGTCCACCTTCCGCAGCAGCATGTCCCGCATGAAGGACATGCGCTCGAAGTGCTCCCAGTTGGAGCGGAATCCCTGCTGCGCATATTGGGCATGCCGCTCTTTTTGCAGCTCGTCCACATATCGCTGCTTGATAATAGACCAGCGCGTCTGCATGAGAGCTGTAATCCGAAGGTAAACTTTAGTACTCCACCAGGACGTTATAGCGAGTGGATAATACGCTTTCCGACTATTCCTTGTCGAAAAACTGATTCCGACATTAAGTATCGAATTCTCTCCATATAAAAATTTCTAATTTCTATTTAATTTAGCTTCTTATTCTTACTATATGTAACCTGAAAAGCATCGTTTCGTCTTTCCCTACTGATCCTATGTTTCTCATTACTCCATTAGGTTTTAGCTTCTTTGAACTCTAACCTTTCCTCTTCCCCCGCTCTTTAACCTTATCGCTATCATAATAAACAATAAAGAAAAATCAATATATCGAAAATCTTCATTAATCCAAACAAGCTTCGAATTCCCCAACAAATTCTTCCAACTTTTAATCTTAACATTAATGTTATTCTTCATTGCAACTTTAACCTTCAAATTAATCTGAAACTCCCTTAAAAGCAAAGCAGAGCTGGACTTTGTTTCGAATTGAATATATATATCTATAATATTTAACCCTTTATCATTGTAAATAAATAAAATTAAACTTATTTTAGCAAATTTTGAGGCATAAAATTGACTTACTCGGCGTCAGGCCCATCTCGTTGGCCGCTTCCTTCCACACGGCCGAGGTGCGACTTTGGCCCTGACCCTTCTCGCTGCGCTGCCGACCCGCCCACAATGAGGGGCGCGCCTTAATGGCATCGATGATGCGTCCCCGCATGCTGTTGTGCAACGAACTGGGCCTGCCAAGTTTGCGCATGGGCGTGGTTGTGGCCTCCACGGTGACGGCAGCCGGCGGCACCAGCCCGGTGAAGGCGGTGTAGGTCATGCCATGCGCGGCCGGCTGCTCAATAAGATGCGGCAGCTCGGCGGCGGCGGCGGACTGTGCAATGGGTGGCGTCGTCGTGGCTGTGGACTGCAGCCAGCTGAAGCTGCCGCTGGGACGCCCGCGCCCGTGTGTGGCGCTGGGCAGCGGTGGCGGCAACGGAGGAGGTGAGCCGCCCACTTGGAGCGAAGACTCGCTTGGCGAACTTGCTTCGGAGTTGCTGGAGTTTGACTGAGTGCCCACGATCTTGGCCACGGTTATGTTGTACATAAAGGACATGGGCTCAAAGTGCTCCCACTTGGTATTGAAGCGCTCCTTGTGCAGTATCTGGCGATGCACCAGATTGTGATAGTGGTATTTCATTTGACTCCAAATCGACTGCAATTTAACTGTTAAAAAGAAGGAACCATAATCGATAAGGCTTAATTGAATTCGTGAGAATCGCTAAGAAAGGCTATGTCGAAGAGAGAGATATCAGAAGGAAACAAGCGCGAGAGAGAGAAAAAAGAGAATATGCTGCAAACACAAAACCTTTTAACCCATAAATCATTAAATATCTAAAACCCTTGGGATCATACAAATAGTATAAAAGACCTGAGCATGAATTAATAGAACCTACACACAAAAGCTCTTTCAGTCTCCAGTTGTATACGTTTATACAAACTATTTCTATAGCTATATCGACTAAAATTGTATTCTGATCATGAATATATATAAACATATACCTTGGAGAACCAGAGATGCATTCTTTTGCATTTTGTATGCATTTAAAGATGTAATGAGAAAATGTATTTCTCTTGCTTAGGCCTGATCCTGATAGCGAATGCAATGAAGAATGAATAATTATTGTCTTCCACAGGTTAAGCTGATTATATAGTTAATATACCCTAAATATGTAATTACCCTATTAAGCCCATGTCCAATTGAGCATTTTACAACCTATGACATGCCGTGTTATGCATCTATTTTTAGACTACACACACACACACATCCACTCACATGTACTCAGAGCAGAAGAGAAAGACGGACAGAAATGAAGAAAGAGAGCGTGAGGGAGCGAGAGAGCAAGAGAGCAGCAACAAGCGAAATGCAAAGCAAAGGCAAATTGACGCCGGTCGCCAGGCTGCGCTTGCAGCCCAGTAGAAACTTGGCTAATGTTTTTGTTGTTGCTCATAAGTACACACACATACACATACACACACTCACACACATTACAGCCATCTCAGTCGCACTCACCTGTAGGCACATGACCGCCAAACTGTTCGGCGATCTCGTTCCACATGGGCGATGTGACGCTGCGGCACAAGTGCAGCTTGTTGTTGGAGTCCCAAATCTCTGGATACTTCTTGATGGCCTTAAGCAGCTGAGCGCGATTCACGAACGGATCCTCCTTTGGCATGGCGACAGGATATGGCTAAGGATGCGACGATATATGTGTAGAACTGGAGGCGATAACGGCAAAGGTGAAGGCGGCGGCGATGGCAGCGGACGCGGAGCACAACTGCGTCCTTTGACATCAATTATCGGCGAATAACTGAAAGTAGAGTTTGCAAAATATGCGAATTGAAAATGAAAAGGCAGAGCGATTGAGGAAAATAGAGAAAACGATGACGACGTCGGGGCAACGACGACGCCAGCGACAGCGACAGCGGCGATTGTTGCTGTAGTTGTTGCTTTTGTTGTTGGGGCGCAGCGATGCCGAGAGATTGGAAAGCAATGTGGCAGAGGCAAAAGCAGCGCAAAAACGGCGAAAGCGCACACGAGATGAGATACACAAAATGCAAGCGAGAAGAGAGAACAGACAGAATGTGCAAAAAAAAAAAGGCAGCAACAGTTCGGCAACAGCAACGACAACGACGACGACGGCGACGTCAGATTTACAGTGTGTGTGTGTGTGTGTCTGTCGGCAATACGTAGGTGCTGCTGATAGAGTTAATGGCGGGGGAGGGGGCGGGGGAGACTGGTGTGCTGTGCCACAACCATACATAAGACGACGCGACGACCAAAGCGCACACAACAAAACAGACAAAGGCAACGAGACCAAAGAGACAAAACAACAACAGCGAACCTTATGGCAGAGACAGAGCTGCAAAAACAAAAAAAAAAACAACAACAACAGCAAAATGAACGAAAAGAAAATAACAGACAAAAACACAAAAAAAGAATTGAAGCAAACGACGGCAGCGTGCAAAAGAAAGGCAACGATAAACAACAGCGACGCCGAAGCCGACGCCAACGTTGGGGCTCACTTGCATATGCCTGTGTGTGTATGTTTGGCTGCCTGCGAGTGCATAAGTGTTTGTGTGTGTGTGTGTTAGGTTTGCCACAGCCTCGTCGCGTTGTTGAAGGTGGCCACGGCATCGGCTTGAAGTGGTCGGGCCGCATTAGAAGCAAAGGCAAAACTCGTGCTGCGCTCTCTACGCGAACGCGAAACAAAAGAGCAGCGCCAAACAGCGATGAGTGCTGAGCAAAATGCAGGCGCACAAACAGAGCTAAATGCACGATGACCGATGCGACAGAAGCAGCAGCAGCAGCAACAGCAACAGCGGCGACAGCGGCAGCGACGCCAAAGCACAGGCCGTAGACGCAGACGCAGCTAAGCAGAGCCGCTCGGCCAGGCTGTCTAAACAGCAACAACTATGTACATATGTATCTATATGTACCCACATATACATACATACATACATACGTATGCACATACATGCATGTAACACAAACGCCTAGTTACTGACGAATGGGCGGTCAGTCGGTCGGTTTTGGGGGCTACGTGCAATGAACCCATTTCGCAGCAACTACAACTGCAGCTGCACACAATTAACACACACGCACATCACTAACGCACACGCACACAAGCGAGCTCACTTGCAATTGTATTTGTGCATAGCGCACCCACTGCGTTCGTTTCGCCAACACAACAACAAAAGCTAGGCAAGAAATCGTCCCAAAAGCTTAAGCATTTTATTAAGGTGCCTCACTTCTAAGTAGGGGGCCTCGCTTGGGAAACAACGGAATATGAAAGCGTATCTGCAAATCAAAAATAAAATATGTTGCAATAATATTCAGAAATTAATTTTAAATTACTTTAGTATTCGGTCTGATTGTTGTGAAATTTGCAGGGTAAAAAATTGCATTAAAACTTGTGGATACCCCTTAGATTATTAGTGGTGGGGAATATATCAAATACTAAAGACACTTTATTGGTCTCCAAGATGTGATAAAGAAATTTCGATAGTGAGAAATTAACTTTAACTACTTGTGCTATGAGAGTACAGGGTATACAAATGAAAATAACGGGGATCTAATAAAAGTTTTCCCTTCAATCTCCTTGGTACGTGATTGGTCGCCGTTGCTGGGAATAATTTAGTCATGAATCGGGTTTAGATAGTCGGTTGGGTCACACTGAGATCATGGATGGGTTATCATCTTCATCAATTATTCAATGGCATGGACTCTGGTGACTGTTCCGGGGCCAATTGATTCCGATTGCTTGGAGTGGGAACGATATCGTACTGTTTAGTTCTATGCTGTTCCGTTCCCACTCCTGTTCCCGTTCCCGTTCCAGTTCCCAGGTCCGTTCCTTCTGCATTTCTAATGCTGTTGTTAATGCCTTTAATGTTTCTCGTTTTATTGGCTACTGTTTCTCTCGCATCTGGGTATCCGTGAGATATGTGAACGCACACGCACTTATCTGGAAGCGGTGTCTTTAATTTTTATGACTGCATAAATGGTCCTGAGCGCCCCTCCCCCGACCCAGGGCAGAACGTAATTTGCTAGATTAGAATTAATTTGGAGGCGCAGGCACGAGATACTCAAACTCTGCCCATAGTAGGCAAAACTTGGGCAGTAAAAAGAAAAAAAGAAACGTAATGTATCTGCGGCTGGACGGCAGCTGGGCTTGGCATATGTGGGGCAGGGCGGGTAGGTAGACAGACAGGCAGGCACAGGCTCCACATCAATTGTCGTTCTGAAGATGGGCTTGAAACTGGGACTGGGACAGGGAAAGGGACTGGGACAGGGACAGGGACTGGGCGTGGGCTGGGCTGGAGGGTTCTATCTGAGCTCTCAGCTATCTGTCTGTGTGTTGCCTTTGTTGGGGTTTTTATTTTCATTTATGCTTTTTAAGTGCTTCATTAAAATCGCGTATGGCTACGGCTTGGGGTCGCTGCTGGGGTCTGATGCCAGGCATCTGTGGCTGGGGCGGACAGACCTTTGTCAGCGTCATCAAGCACAACAACAACAGCAGCAACAAAAAAGTATCTTTCAGATACATGTCCAAAACGCAAAGAAAGCAAAGCATAAAAAACGCACGACGACGGTAGGTGAAAAAAAAACACACAAAAAAATATACAAATAATAAACAAGTCAGAATTTCAAAGTCCAAGGTAATCGCCTAAATAATACCCCGCACCTGAAACCAAAAGAACTTATATTTATTGGCCAAGAGTTGAACATGGCTTCCAAACATTTTTTAATAACTTAGAAGAGCTTTATGCTCACAAAGGATTTGGCTATATGGAGTGTTAATACCTGCTGCATATATGTGCAACTTTATGATGCCCTCTGTGCTGAACTCCCCTGGGTACAGGGTATAAAAAGATACAAGAAATAAAAAGAATTATAACCAAACATGTTTTTCACTCAGCCTCTCGGTACCCAGTGTCAGGCCCAACTCCAGACGCGGAGTCGCAGCTTCAACTCCGGTTTTTGGTTCTTTCTGTGTGTATGTGTGTGTGTGTGTACTGTGTGTGTGTGTTTTCTTGGGCTGCGTGGCAATAAGTGTGCCCGCTCACGGAACGGTGCAAAAAGTTAAGTATCTTGTTGTTGTTGTCGGTTTATACCCTGAACCCATTGAAATTGGGTAAAGGGGTATAAGGATTTTATGAAAATGTATGTGACAGACAGAAGAAGACATCTCCAAACGCATTAAGTATTTATATTCATGATTCATGTGTGCTTCGATCTAGTCTTGTGCGTATGAGTGAACATGTTAATCTTGAAAACAACAAAAGTAAGAGACTTTAAATTTGAAATATATTTTCTTGTTCACTATTCGCAGCAAAATCCTTACATTTTGGTATATATCGCGCTCTATTATCGATTTTGTTTTTTAAGTATAACTTAAAGATTACAAGGTACACTAAAAGGTACACCATGTAGGTTTTTTGGATAGCTCCCCTATCTACCATTGCGCTTTGTTATACACGCAGGGTCTCATATGCAAATGGCCCCTGCAAATTAAATAAAAATCGGACTATAAGCACCGAAGTAAATCTAAAAAGCATTTTTCATGTATAGTTTGAGCTGGTGTGCATTTTTGTGTATGTATGTATATAGAAGGCAGCCAGTATGTAAAGGCTTCTTTGCGCATGTTTTAGGGTATCTCCTAGTCGGTTACTGCCGACTAGAGCACTCTTGTTTATTTTTTTAGAGGTGCGCATATAAAGAGGCCTTCTTAACTGCCAGACCCAGACCCCAGTTGCCAGCTGCCCCCGCTCAGCCCCTACCCCATTGTCCCAGTGGCCAGTTTCAGCCGACGTCCAAAGATAACACCAGCAAAAGCAACAACAACAACAACGGCAACAACAATAATGGCTTGCAGCATCCAAGCATCCAAAAGCCAATCGAAAAGCCACTTGGCCAACTCCTTTTCATCCTCCATATGCCATATGTGCAAATCACATACAGTAGCAAAAAATTTCGACAGTTATTTACGATTAGCACAAAAGATACGAGACATGACATGCGCTGAGATGCCGCAAAGATGCAGATGGCTGTTGCTTTTGCTGTTGCTGTTTGCCGGGATCTGCGATCCCAACTTGGAGAGCGAGCCGAGGCGTGGGCTGGGGAGCGATTGGTGGAGGAGGGGGGGGGGGCCACTACGAACACAACATGAAACCTGGCCTGTTACCCACTCGGCTGGCTACTGTTGCATGCCAGCAGACACAGCGGGTGACGGCCACAAGGGTGCCGCCAAGCATCCCAGCTCCTTCCTTTGCAGATCCGTAGGACCGTCAGGCGGGCATTCGCTGTTTGTTTAGCTTACTTTGCAGTTCTCGAGAATGGAGACAGAACCTCATTTATGAGCTCCGTTTGATGATCAATTAAATGCTTCTGACACTCTCGAAAAAGCCATTGTCTTTTGGGCTCCGACTAAACAAAAACGAAAGACTACTGAAGTGTTTAAATACCCTGTACCCATTAAAATTGTGTAAACAGGGCGTAATTAAGTAATGTGAGTCCGTTCATTATCGCCTTTCTATGCGATTTTCAAGCATACAAGTCATGTTTTTCGATTGTTTCTTTTTTGGTAATTTGTGACATCATTCAAAAGTTATGTCTGATATGAACACTTCTGAATTATTTGTCACTCTTACTCACACTTTCTCCTTCTCAGCTGCCATACTTTTAATACCCTATAAAAAGAATGTAAAACAATATCGTAAAAAGGCGAAATATCTGATGCAAATAGCGTGTGTGGATCGCCACAAGGAGGTATAAACTATATACAATGACATAAATGAGGTCATTCCGGATTGCGGCCAATTCTTTAAGCCATAAGCAAAATTTATGGCATTTC